GGGTCTAATGCCAAAGGGAGCGTCGGAGCTGCCCCCTCCTCTGATCCACCGCAAGGGAGGATCTCATAAGGGTGGTGGCACACCGCTTCCATACCTGCTCATTTAAAATCCATTGCTAAAAGGATAAATAATTTAAAATATTCTCCATTTCTTCCTCTGGAAGGAGTCTGGAGCCCAGGAAGTGGAGGCAGGGATGAAGGGAAGCAGTCGTTGTTCAATGATGTTTTCCCAGTTTAATTAGACTGGAGATACCCTCCCTTGCTGGTGGAGCCCATGGGGTCTCCTGGCATAAACATGAACCCCCTTTCTTTCCTGGGTTTCATTGAAGGTGCAGGGACCTCTGAAGTTCTCATTTAACCAGCTATGCCAGCCAAAGCTTTTTGAGAAGACCTAGGCCAATATTTCCCAGATAAATTAGTTTTTGGCTCTGCAGATTGGATTTTTTGCACCCAAGTGGAAGCATGCCCTATGCTGTAAAAATGCCGAGGTTTCCTCAAACCCTGAAGATGGAGATAGACCTATCCTGGGTGCCCAGTGGAAGGATGAGAGGCAATGGGAACATATTAAAGCATGGGACATGACAGTTAAGCATAAGAAAACACTTTTTCACTGTGAGGGTGGTCAAACACTGCGTCAGGTTACCCAGAGAAGTTGTGGCATCTTCATCCTTGGAGATACTGGGATACCCAGCTGAGACATGGTCCTGCTCTAGCAGATGCTGCTGTGAGACACGGATTGAACCAGACACTCCTCAGAGGGACCTCCAGCATCAGCCCTTCTGGGCTTCTGTGACCACTATGAGATGATCACAGAATACAGAAAAACAGAGCTGTTGGAGCCTTGATTTTTGCTGTGGAGGTGTTTAAAGGGAAGAGAATGTCCACATTCCCTGAGGCCTGCAGCACTCTGCGCACAGCTTTGCTCCTCCATGATTGCCACAGAGCTTCTAGATCTACCTGAAGACCTGGAAAGGTGAGAAGGAGCCCAAGAAGGTGGCTGCTACATCAGGTTGGGTTGCCCAGCCACTGCATGTGCCTTCTGGCTTTTGAACAGGAGGGGGTGGTTCAGTTCATCTGCAGGAACATGCCAGAGAGTGATTTTGTAGTCTTTGGACCAGAGTTCATTGACATGTTGATGTGCAAGTCTCCAGCTCTGCAGCAAAAGTGTCACCTGGAGAAGCAAAGGATGCTGTGCCCATTTAATAGAGGAAAAATGGCAGCATCCAAGGACCTGGCGGTGCAGGTTTCACGTGTTCATGGCTGCCTCATCCTCCACAAGATGCTCCACGAAGGTTTCTCCTCATGGCAGTTCTTCCCCAGCCTACATCCGCCTGCTTTTGCTGGGGCAGCAGGGGGGGGAAGATGCTTTCCAGGGCTCAGCATCCACGCAGGATGGAGCCGACCGGAGACATTGCTCTGAAGCGGGGCTCTGTTAGGAAGGGGGAAGCGGATCCCATCGCTGAGTTAGCTGCCTGCAGTGTCTGAGCTGGTGCTCCTCGGGGACAGCTCGCTGCAGAAAGGAGAGCACTGCGCTTGGATCCTCCCGCTGAGCGCTTGTGGGTGAAGCGCTTCACCAGGCCAAAGTCATCTGACATTTTTCTCGGGGGCGGGTGAAGCTAATGAATCCAGATTAGGCAGTGCGGAGGCTGGGGAGCTAGATTTCTGCTGAATATATATGAAGACAAATGTAAATTCTAAACTTTCTAGGGAGTATTTTTACCCTGGCTCAGCGTTAACATTGATAAAAATAGTCACAAATTAGTGCAGGAGTAGAAAGCAAATTTGGGCCTTTTATTTTTTTTTTTTACTGTTAAAACCATGCATCTATTTCTCTACCAGGAGTTAACCTCTTACATGCATTAATGAAACACGGAGTAAACCATCAACAAGTGCCCTTCCCTGACAAAATAACTCCTACCTCAATTAAGTAATTAGGAAGGAAAGCTGAAGTTAAATAAAAAGCCTTTTTTTTTTTCTAGAAAGAAAATTATTCAATCCAAGAAATTCAGCACCGCAAGGAGGATGTTAACAGCACATCGGCCCACCTGCCTGGTTCCCTAGCACCCAAATGCTTGCAAAGGTGATGGGGAGGCACCAGCCCCATTCTCCAGACGGGGGGACTGCAGTATAGAAAATTGTGATTTCACTCCGCATCACCAGAAGCCACCCTGGGAGCCCAGGTCACCTGAGCAAATTCCCAGCTGAAATGCTGCTCACAAAATACTGCTTCGAGCTGCCAGCCCATCCTTAAACTGCTGGGAAGGAGCATCCTCTCCTGGTACTGATGGATGTGTGACCACACCTGAGACAGGTGAAGGCTCGTGCTAGAAGGAGCTTAATAGCTTTACGGATTGATATCTGGGCCATGAATCCTGCCTGGTACTTGTTATTAGATGTTGCAAACAGCTGACTGAGCAATGAGAAGAGAAGTCCGAGGAAGCTTTAGCTGCTACAGCCCAGGGCTGTTGGGGGAAGGATGGCTTTGATAGCTGAGACTGGAAGGAAAATCCTTTTGGGGTGCGATGTTGTTGAGAAAGTACGTTACAAAGGAAAAACAAAACGACATTCTTTCCAGAGGTTCATTTTTAGGAAAAAAATGTGGTTTAACTTCTGACCAGCTTCTGATTGCAAATCTTTTTGCTTTACTCTTCAGATCCTTGCGAACCCTAGCCCTCACCTAAGCTGCAGTCAGTACCACGAGTGCCCTCGTGGGGTGACACCTTCTGCCCTTTGCTTGGACTTTGGCTGCTTCCTTGGCTCAGAGTAGAGTCTATCATGTCCTTGCAATGCCACCACAGGGGCTAAGTCAGGACCTGGAGTGAGGCTTGGCTAGAATCTGCTAGTGATGCGTGTATCTCGTGTTCTGCCATGGCTCATGGTCTTTGTGTCTAAAACACCAGACTGGTTGCTGGTCACTGTGCCAGGCATGGAGTAGAACGGCCGATGGAGGAGTCTTTCCAGAGCAGAACAGCAACCAGAAAGATGCACGCAACCTGTGTATTAGGAACTCGAGGCCAGTTGTGATGGTACAGCACAGAGACGATGGCAAGCCACGTTAGAGTGGTTACCGCTCTGTGCTGGTCTCATCGCAAGCACTTGTGACTCTTTGGAGCTGAGCCGAAAGCTGCTCATTTCTGGACATGTGCTGAGCTTCTAGGTGTCAGCAAAGCCACGTACACGGTGAGACAAACCCCACCGAGACCCCTGAGCCCTGGCCAGTCCCGCTGTGCCGGAGGAGGTGCTGGCACGCTGCATCCTGGCCCCAGCCTACGTGCTTCCACATTTCGGGAAACCTCGCGAGTGCGAGGTGCCTGCTCCTCGGGAGGGGGCTTGAGGGGGACGCCCAGGGCTCTCTGCAGAGCAGAGATTTCTTCTTTC